TGCCGGACCATATAGCTTAATTGGCTACTCCACTATAAGGAGTCTAGCCTCTAGGAAGTCGCCTATAGCGCCTACTCCCTAACCCTAACCCTAACCATATCAGATATATTGAGATAGTTACCATGCAGGGTACCACCAGGTGGTGTTCTCTATCCTTGAACCGAAAGTTGAAGCGTTTCGACTGTTAACACACGCCGCCGCCATTGCGCGCACACTGACACATAAATATATACCGGTAGTGTACGTGTTATATATATATTTTCATGTGTTATGTGTTATGTGTTATGTATTATATAAATATTATTATTATATATATACATATTATTTATGTGTCAGTGTGCGGGCAATGGCGGCGGCGTATGTTTACAGTTGAAACGCTTCAAGTGCCTGTGCCTGTGGCTGTGGTAGTGAAGCTGTTCTAACTGTATTACAGATATGAAGTTAATGTCCCATTGACTAGTTAGCCGCAGAGTATTATGGTAATTAGCATTGTTGTTGTGCTTTGTACTTACTCGTCACTCGTGTATTTTCGTACCTTGATGCAATAAATCGTGTGTATCGAAAGTAAAATAAGGTGTTGAAGTCGGGTTTCTACGGACGCCGTTTGCGAGGCTCGACGTAAGCGCTAAATATATCTAACGGCGACATAGCGAACTAACCACAAAATTTATATTCGCACGTGCCTAGTATTCGCACAGGAAAATACGATACTATTGATAAACGACCACAAAACACACGAAACGATGCCATATCATAACATACCATCGAACCCAGTATCGTATTAAAGGATAGCATTTGTAATCGCGCGTGCCCGATATTTATCAAACCTACTCAGGAGTATATTGTGAAAAGGAAAAGGAAGAAGTGGGGAGGAGCGGGGTAGCTATAGAGCATACAGAAGAGGAGAGAAAAGCAATGGGTGAGACTTGTGAAGGAAGCCGATGGAACGGGTAAAGTGAATGATGAGGGAGAGTTCCAGAAAGTACAAGGGATATGGATATAAGAGTTGCCATGTTTCTCCAATCCTCGTCTACTCTCTATGTTCGCGTATTCCAAACAGCTGCAAACATTTCGTTATTAATATCAGGAGTAGATAATAGGGAACCCTAGCTATTATCTACTCCTGTTAATATGAAAATTCAACAGAATTCTGTTGAGTTTTTATATTTAAAATAGACAGCGCATGCTCCCGAGTAATTTGTTATGAAAACGTTCTGCCGCAGTGATTGACTTTATCATTACCAAAATGTCCACGCTCAATCTTCCCAAATTTCCTTTGGTGTATGATGATAGCATCTAGAGAGTCAGGTAAATTGGCCCCTGAGTCGTTCCTATAATCTAATGATAGTAAGGCAGCACGACTTGCATTTATGACCAAAGCTTTTATTGTAAATGTACTTTATATGTCAAGTAATTCTACAGAAACATCGTTTAAATTCTTCTCTACAACTCACATTATTACCGCACGAACGCCTCGATCTGAGCATAAAATACAGGTAGGGGCCTACATTCAAAATAGAAAACGCAAGAGCCAGGGCCGTAGCCTGCGGGGGGGGGGGCAAGGGGGGCAGCTGCCCCTACTAGATTTTGGAGCAAAATTAAAAAAATAAATTTCTACTAAAAGAATTGTCGTAGTCAGAATGAAGGCTGTACATGTACTCAAAAGTGCCTCAAATGCCATCTCCTGCGATCTACATTTTCAAAATTTTCTGTGGAAGGACCCCCAGACCCCCACCTGTTTGTCAAAACTAGACTGAGAATTAAGGGAGATTGAAGAGGAAAAGTATGGTAGAAAGCGAAGCAGGGGTCAGGTAAATGAGGAGGAGGATGAGGTAAAGGAAGAGGATGCATGAGGAGGAGGGGAGGAGGAGGAGGAGGAGGAGGAGGAGGAGGAGGAGGAGGGGAAGATAGGTCCTGGCGGTAGATACACAGAGTGAAGGGGGACTTAATTAGTTATTATTTAGTTACATATCTAGTTATAATCCGTCCAGTTTTCCCAATTTCCCTATATTCCATTTGTGCTCACGCATGCCCACTATAAACAACCAGTAATTCGTTATTCTGTTAAGATTCCCTTTTGCGCGCATGCAAGCGAAGGAAAAGAAAACGAAGTACAGGGAGAGATAGAGCACGCGCGCATGCACACGTAAACACACACAAACACGCACACACACGCGCACACACACACACACACACACACACACACACACCACGCAAGCACGCATCGCACGTACCGCCACGCACGCACCGCACCGGCACGCACCCACGCACCTACACAAACACACACAACACCACAACACACACAACACATGCACACGTATGTAAGGGATCGAATACTACTATACACTATGCGTATGCAATGAATTATATTTTGTGTACTGAGGCCCGCACGGTCAGTTGTCCGCGTAGCTTCTGCGACATTTTTCTTTATAACAATGTCAATATCAATGTTCTGCGTGTGTTATATACTGCCAATACTATATACTATAAGCATCAAGTAAAATTCTACTAAGATGGTAAACAGCGCTACCGATCTCAAATATAACTAGACAGAGGGCACTCACGGAGAGGGCACACACACACACACACACACACGACACCACACACACACACACACACACACCACAGCGGAGGCATAAGTCGAGACGACGCGGACAGGCGGAGGCGGGGGAGCGCGAGGACAGGGGACATCACACACGACGACACACCACAACACCACCACGCAGAGCCATTACGGGGGAGCCGCCGGGGGCATATCTCCTGTGTGCGAGGACGTGCGGGGGGGGCTCGCGGAGGTAATAACACAAATTTCAGAACAGATGTTGAATGGCATAGTTATGGCATAATAATATGTTAAATCCAAATTGAAAGGGTGAGAATATATCACAGTTCACTAGAAACTCGTAAAGTCTATTGTATATTAACCCTTTTCTAAAATATTTGAAAAATTAATATACAATAGACTTTACGAGTTTCTAGTGAACTGTGATATATTCTCACCCTTTCAATTTGGATTTCAAAAGAACCATTTAACGGCACTGGCAATATCAGAATTATACGATACTCTCCTAAAATCCAATGACGAAGGAAAACTCTCGTGTGGAATATTTCTTGACTTGTCAAAGGCCTTTGACACTGTTAAGCATGATATACTGCTCTCTAAGCTGGAGCACTATGGTGTAAGAGGAACAACTCTAGGTCTGTTTATTAGCTATCTTTCAAATCGAAAACAGTATGTATCTATCAATGATTCATGTTCACATCTTCTCGGCGTCTCATGTGGTGTACCTGAGGGATATACTTTGGGTCCCCTGCTTTTTCTAATATATGTAAATGACCCAGAGCCTCAAATTTCAGTTCTCGTCTATTTGCTGACGATACTAATATATTTATCACAAGTTCGAATATAATAGACCATGAAACTAAGGTAAATCGTGAAATTAAACATGTCAAGAACTGGCTGGATGCTAATAGATTGTCTCTTAATAATAAAAAACGAAATATATGATTATTGGTAATAAAAAGACTAATTATGATACTTTTGAGATTTATATTGATAACTACAAGCTCCAACGTGGTAATATTATAATATATTTGGGTGAACACTTCGACTGTAAACTAAAGTGGGACTTTCACGTCAAATTTATCAGCACCAAGTTAGCTAATAAATCTGCTAGAATTATATATAAACTTAGGCACTATGTTAATGTTAACACACTTAAAATGATTTATTTCTCTCTGGTGTACCCTTACCTCCTAGGGGGCCCTATATGCTATATTAAGCTGGGGGTCAGCAACTTCAACCACCTTACAGCCAATCAATAAAGTACTTAACTCAATTATCAAATACATGCGCTTTGCTGGAATGAGAGATCACGTGACACCCTATTTCTTCAAACTTGGTCTTCTAAAACGTTTTGACATTAATGAACTTGAGCTAGCTAAATTCATGTATAAGTATACCCACAGTGAGCTACCAGATCTATTTCGTAACTACTTCATCAAAATCTCTTATGTACACTCACACTTCACCAGACTTGCAACATCAATTTCGTATCACCTACCAATCATTAAAGTTCGTAGGTGTTAAACTGTGGAGCGACATACCTGTATATATGAAAGGTTTACCCTTCCCAAAATTCAAATACTTTTTTAGAAATAGCTTAATTATTACAACTATATATGTACATACCTTTTAGTTATTGTTTGTTGTACTTTAATATTGTATAAGTGCTTATAATTGTTATATATTGTTTATATGTTGTATATTATAATTTATGAACTTTGTAACTATGTTTATAAACTAGGTGTGTTGTACTTATAATATGTATGTACTATTTCGCTTTAATTTGTTTTCATCTTTCAATGAATCACACTGTGTAAATTCATCAATGTCATATAACCTACCAAGGGCAAGGTATAATACCGTTCTTGTAAAAAATATGTTAAGTTCGTGTTGTTAAACTCTGGAGCGTCATACGGGACTCATACCTGCACATACCTGTATATATAAAAAGTTTAAAACCTTAACCTTCCCAAAATTAAAATGTTTTTTTTAGAAATAGCTTATTAATTACAATTATAGGTGCGGGCGGACAGCCGGGAACCTTTGGCCACATCCGGGTCTTTAGCAACTATCTGTGGCCGGTGAAAACAACAGGGCCGGTTCCCCGTGAGGCTTACACACGCATATACCCCATTTCCTAAACCAGAAAGCAATAGCTAATTTCCTTGGATATCATGCCGACAACGTTGTGTAGGTAGGTAGGTGTGCACTTAATCATAGTTATATTGGCAGGCAGATACAGAACTTTTGTTTTTTTTGAGCTGCCAAAATGACATAAGGTCCAGTGAGGCGTGATAAGTCATAAGTGTGCTGACTGGGCACTAAGATGAAAATGAGATAAATGAGTAAATGTAAATGGTAACGCACTGGGAGTCCGTCCACATTCTGCCACTATTTGTTCTGATCTTTCGTGTCAGGTAACTTACTATTTTTATAACCTGCGTCGTGTGTGTGGCGTGCGTGCGAGTGGTGTGCGTGCGTGCGTGCGTGTGCGCAGGCGTGTGTCCTGTGTGTGCGATGTGTCTATACGTATGCGGTGTGCGTGTGCGTGTGCGTGTGCGTATGGGTCGTGTGCGTGGTGCGTATCGCGTGTGCGCTCGTCCGGCGTGATGCGCTCGTAGTGTGCGCAGTCGGCGTTCGTGGCGTGTGCGCTGGGGTGGCACCGTGCTGTGTGTGTGGGCGTGTGCGTGTGCCATCGAGTGTGGTCACTGTGTGTAGCGTGTGTCGTTGGCGTGTGCGGTGTGCATGGAGGTGTGCGTCACTCGTGTGTAGCGTGTCGTTTGTGCGTTGGTGGTGGTCGCGTGGCGAGTGCGTGGTGCGTCGTGCGTGCATGTGGCGTGTGGCGTGGCGTGTTTTGTGTGATGCGTGTCGCGTGCCGAGTGTGTGACACTGCGTGTGCGTGTGCGTGTGCATGCGTGCGCTGCGGTGCGTGGTGCGGCGCCTGGTGTGTTGTGTGTCCTTGTGTGTTGCGCGGTGCGTGTGCGTATGCGTGTGCGTGGGTGAGTGTGTCACTGTGTGGTGCGAGTGCGCTGTGCGTGTGCGTGTGCGTGTGCGTGTGCGTGTGGCGTGTGCGTGTGCGTGTGCGTGTGCGTTGTGAGGTGTGGTACTGTGTGTGCCGGTGTGGGTGGCGGTGGCGTGCGTGTGCGCGCGTACGCTGTTTGTCGTGTCGGCTGTTTGTGGTGCGTGTGCGTGTGAGTGCTGTCACTCGTGGCCTGTGTGCGAGTGCCGTGTGAGTGTGCAGTGTGAATCATGGACTTTGTTTTCCTTGTTTCACGTAGACTGGGGCGTAATTTTATTCCAACTAATGCAAAGCAAACAAGATACAGAATAAAGAATAGCTAAAATATTTATCTTTGTATTATGGTATCATATGTCATCTTACATAATGTCCATAATTATAGGCTACAGCTAGAAGGTCGCATCTATATACTCGTAAGCATATTAGAAGAAATCTCATGAAAAAAACTTATTAAAACTTCCAAACCAAGGTGACGGATAGATTTCCGTATCGTTATGCAGACTGATGTATATGTCGCATCTAACTTATGCCTGCGTTTGCGTAATGCGCTATGGGCGGCCAGTCGACGGCGATCGACGGTTGTTTTCACGCGGCGTTCTGCTGGTGGTGCAGTTGGCCAGTACTTTAACGCGTAAGTATTGTATTGAAGTCTTGTTATATGTTGGTAATAACATTATAATTTCAGTGAACTTTGTAACTATGTTTATGAACTTCGTGCTATTACATAAATGGCAGTATGTAGCTCTAGTAATAGGGTATTTTTTCGCATCTATTCCATCACTGTAGTAAGGTAGTCGTTTAATGCACAAATCAAAATCAACTTAATTGAACCTTGCACCCTACGTACACCAACGAGGTACGTGTTATATTTGTCGATTCTTGTATATACCTAGATAGATCTTATCGTAATTACTAGCTTTATTAACTCATAGTCATATGATTCAGCTGCCCGTTTATGTACTAATATTTTTTTTTAGGGGTGACAGACTTTGATGACCTGAGGGTCTTTTTCCACCCCAGTGTTATATCTATCACATTATGTGTTGTGACTTTTCATTCTTATATATTATATATATATGAATATATATTATATATTCTTATTTCTTTCATATGTATCGTTGTATACTGAATGTAAATATGTCTTATGCACAAATAAAATTTTTCAATCTTGAATCTTGAATCTTGCATACGCGTAAAAATTGGTTAGCTGTGTCTGGGATTCTTCTTTGGGAAACTGACCAATGGCGGCGAAACATGCAGCACGTGGCAATCGTCTATATATATAGCCCATCCCAGCGTGCAGCGCGCAGTGTGGAAGTGGCCATCTTAGGATAACAACTGGTAGACAAAGCTGCGAAGTCCTGCGACCGAGGACTGGTACCCACCAACATCTAGGACCATGTCCGACTCGGAGAAACAACCCGAGGAAACTAACATCGAAGCCACAACTGAACCCGAGATAGAGAAGAAAGTTATTGGTGATTATAAACATTATTTTGACTTCCGCGTGCCAGAGCTGAATTCGCAAATCCTGAACTCTGTCCGACATTCGGCGGTGAATCCGCTCGCCTATGCCATGGCCCTATCCGCTATCGGTCATATCTCGAAAACATAGCCAGTAATTACTAACTAGGCTTAAGTCAGAACCTGTAGAATATTTATCTGTAAGCAAATACTACGTATTTATATCGTTATTGGTGGTAGTTGTAACTTCGGTAGCGTGTTAGTGATAGAAAGATATTTCGTCCACTTAGGAGTCATGTTCTTGCTCTGTGTAAAAAACAGTAAATTACTATTACTAATCACCTGAAGACCATGATGATGATACTAATAGTAATAGGCTATGCTACTGTGTGTGTATGCACAGTTTAGCTAATAAGCATAGCTAGTATATAATGAAGAGCCCTTTGAGTGGTGCAAAATGTTGCAAATAATTTGCCAAGTTGTGCCAATGTTCACACGTGTGAATGTATTGACTGCCACTGTACCTGCCTTCTTGGTTATGTTTTATCACTCTTGGTGTAAATTTCCAGTGCAACTTACGATTTGCCTTATTGTTAAAGCTTGTATTTATCTACAAAAGTTATCTCGGCAATAATTTTAGATTCTGAGACCTCTTCAATCATCCATGAAATTAAACCACACATATAAACATTTTTCACTACTCTTTTTTTCTTCTGTGTAAATTTTATATGATCTCAAAGAACCTTACCATGCATACATTTTCCGTGTCGGTATCGCCATGCATTACTCATTTACAGATACAGGTGCTTATCTTATGTAGTTTGCCTAAGCAATCGGTGGATTTTTTCGGATAGACTTAGCGTTCTTCATGTAGATACAGGGTTCTCCAAGCTTTTTCATTATAGCATGGCGGGTGCTGCCTTTATTGTCCTAGTTGCAAATCGCCGAAGGCGGTTTGTGTGCTAGGGGGGTCTGGGGGCTATGATATTTAGCATGGCGGCTATGATATTTAGAGTGGTGGGTGCATTTTAGGATGGCAGGGCTCGACGATAGCCTGGCGGGCCGCCAGGCTATAAGTGCTCTTGGAGAACCCTGAGATACCCTAGCTAAGCTTAATGGATGCTTTCATTTTAGGTTTGTGGTGAAAGTTGGTTGATTTCAAAGCTAGGTATTGCACAGATTCTCTTAAAAATTACAGAATAACTGAGAAAACCCTCATTGTATTTAGACAAGATGGGTGTATTGTGGTAGTACAGATGGCAAATGAGGCACGTGTGCTCATTGGTTTTATCTTTGACTAGATATCATTATTGTTGAGCTAGTTTTTTGTTTAAAAAAAAAAGTTTACAGTTTAGTGCTGCAAACAGCCTGTATTTTTAATGTTAGATATACATTAGTTAGTTTTAATGTACATTTGTTAACAACAGCTAATTCTGATCTAAATGGCTAGAGACTGATGGTTGACACTTGCTAACCAGCTTTACTTCATTTTAGCAACTAAGGTCTTGGGAACAGTGAAGTGGTTCAACGTCAAAAGTGGCTATGGATTCATCAATAGGTGCGTACAGGTGCAAATCGAATAGAAATAAGATAAACTTGCATAAATTTGCTAGTATAATATACATGTAGTGTTTGTTACAGAATACAGACCCACTTGCATTCGTGGCATGACAACGTTTGCGCATGACAATGTATGCGTGTGGTTTTCTCTCTTACCTTTTAAAAAAGGTGGGTCCCTAAGGCATACACGAACTGTCTGTTATATATTCATGGTCATCACATGTAGTTTGTGGCATTTAGTTTGCTTTCTATTGGTCAACACTCACACGTCAACACTAGTGGTCACATGTTTGCTGTCTGGGATTTATGCTGCATGCCAATTTCGAGTTTTTGTGATGTAACATGCACGTTTAAATGTTGTTTTCGCACATTTGAACACCAGGAGCCAATAAAAAAACTCGAGTTGTATTTATCCATAACCACGATTAAACTGTGAAAATTCATATTTCTCATCGTTTCGACATCGTAACATTTGCTGATATTATTTTGAACGTCACATAGAATGTTTGAATCAATGCCATCGAAATGCTTAATATGATTGTAATTGTGTGGTTTGTTGCAGTTCAGTATGATAAGGCAGTGTTTCTGTGTGGATCATGTGTGTAGGGTTAGTGTGTCAATGTCAGTATTACAGTTTGATGTGACTGACTATTTCCTAGGCTACAGAGAATAAAGCATAAGCATGGTAGCGTCATGTCACGTTGAAATTCTAAAGATAGGAGTGCAATTGCCAGTATTATTTCATGATTGTAATAAACACATGGCTGACTGTACCCAGCCAGAAGCCAAGTACAGTTTGTCTTTGAGCTATGATAGCCATGTGTTTTTATATGGGGTGGAGAAATCGTTTGTAGTTGGTTAGTAGGGGGATCATGGTAATGGTAGAAATAATGTATGAGAAAATAATTTTGTGATTGGGATTGGTGATGTAGCGTTTTGTTATTGAAGGCTAAATAATGGGCACTGCAGCACTAGCAATTATAATATTTATAAGATTGGTGCCTTATGAAATCTTCTGTTACAATCCTGCATTGCAGCCAACAATTTAATTTGGTGTGAAAATTAGTATAGTTTCATAACCATTATACGTTATACCAATTTCGAAATTCTACATGAGTGTATGTTTTGTGTGCTTATGTGCAAAGAATGAGGCAGGAATAATTTATAAATGCACTTGATGAAATGTAAATGCAGGGGCCAATGTATCTCTCGGCTAAATGTGTGAAGGCTATGTGTTCTTACATGAAAATGCTTTCAGTAGTAGCTATATATTTGAACAGTGGGGGTCATTTCCATGCCAGTGCATCATTATCCCCCTACCCCCACCACCACATCTCACCCCACCACCACCCCTGCCCGTAACCAGAGAAGCACCACGTGGGTGAAAGACTGAGCAAATATTTTAGGCAGGGCCCACAGGAGAATGCCACGTGGCTATGTGGCTGCGTGTAGCAGGAGTGGCAGGAGGGTAAAAATAGAGTAGTGATCGTGCTGCATGATCATTCCTGGGATGTATATTGTCGGTTCTCCCCCACGCAGGCAGGGACCGGTTAGTCTCACATAATATTTATATGTATGTGGTAATAATTCATAATAGTTTTGCCAACTTCTTATATAATCCTTAAATATAGGAAAATAACAGATTACCCAAACTTGCTGACTAATCGTTAGTTGTAGTCCTTTAAAGTCGGTTACATATTTTGTCCATGCACAGACAGTGCATTGTGCCTTGCATTACTCAGTTTATTTGTGCTACAATCTGATAGTCAGTGTTTATAGCTATCATGTATGACCTAGTATCAATAGATGGATGTTTATAGTAGCCGAACCTCTCTGGTTTATAGTGTGAAAGTCCATTTAGTTTACAATGATTGTCTTGATAGACAGTGCTAACCTATAGTTGGAATGATGGTGCATAAGTTATTGCTGCACCAACGTGTGTGCCCAAGTGTCATGTCTCATGTACGTGGCTACTTCCCTTACTCACTAGTTAGTAAATATTTGTTTGAAAAGTCGTGATCGCTATCCAGCAATAACTATGGACATCTTATCAACTTGAGTTGATTATATAAATGTCCAACATCTGGGAGTAATGTCTAAAAGTACAGTAGCAGCAACCCGGTAAATTAAAAGTTATGTTCACTGGTACACGTATGTAGACACAATTATTTTTATCTTTCAGAAATGACACCAAAGAAGATGTCTTTGTGCATCAGGTAACTACTGTATTTACCTACTAATAGTAAGGCCGACCTAAAAATTACCTTTGGTTCGGGTCACCCGCCCGACTTCACATTTCGGAGTGATAAAATGTGCGACTGCGGTCACTTTTAGAGGGTTTCAAGAAAAAATAAAATTCAAAGATACCGCCTGCCGATCATACATATTCAAATATCCGACTCTTGTCATTTTATTTACCTAAGGATAGTTCCAAAATATTTATAAACAGAACTTCGTTGGCACGAAGTGAAACAGTTCCTACCTACGTTTCCTAGAATCCTACAACGTGAAACAGTCGTATAGAGCCTGGGCCGGCTACTTCATAAACAGAGCCTGAAGGTCGTATGGCGCAGCGGCCGGCTTTGATGTACGCGATCGATTGCGTACTATATAGTATACGCATGCTATCGTGCTATACGCGGCCGCAGAGCCGTTTACACTTCGGTTACTCGCTTGTTCAAAGGAACGATTAATCGAGCTCCGTTTTTGGAGCGATTCTTAACACTGCTATCCAGTACACGACACGAATACCAATACACGACACCAGTAAACGACTGGTGTTCACATTTTGAAAACAATGTCATGACTTGCAGCAATGGTACATGCAACTGCAAGTCATTTGCATCTCGTGGCTCCTGCATTTCAAGCTGTATACCCTATATTTAACTTGTGAAAAAAAAATTTATATTCCTGCCTACCCATGTTTTTGCAGGAAAAAAAAATAAAATAAAAAATGTTATACCTACCTACCGACCCTAATTTTCACAATCCATGTGACCCGAACCAAAGGTATTTTTTTGTTTGGCCTAACAGTATTATCGTTGCTATTAAAACACATTCGGCTCCTTTACAAAATAGTTATGTTATACTCGAAATTGAAACAGTGAGCCAACATAAATCTTTTTGGGCTTAAAGAAAATTGTACTTGGGAGACAACGGATTATTACTTTGATTTTGTTGTTAAATACTTGCACCTGGCTGTAGGTGTAAACACATCATTACAAAGTCCATACAAACGTTTCTAATTGGGATGGAATTATTATTTCAGACTGCCATCGTTAAGAACAACCCACGCAAGTACCTGAGGAGTGTTGGGGATGGAGAGGTTGTTGAATTTGACGTTGTTGAGGGAGACAAGGTAAGCGGTTAACCCTCGCTAACCAGCGAACACAGAATTCCTTCATAGCGCTTGGTTGGCTTCCAACTTGTCATTTTGTAGAACTGTGAAGCTTCTAAATAATAATTATTACCATACTTGAGCAGAGGAAAAGTACTGCTTGGTAGTCGAAAAGTCGCGCGTTTCGTCCTGCTTTTCGAAATGTGAAATCTTCAGTCCTCGCCATTGCTAATGACGCTTGCAGGGTAACGAAGCGGCGAACGTGACTGGCCCAGAGGGCGCTCCTGTCAAGGGCAGCAAGTTTGCCGCGGATCGCCGGCGGTTCAGGCGCCGCTACTACAGCGGCGGATCCCGGCGTCGAAGAGGCACTGGCAGCCAGGTACGCCGCCATTACCCTACACTACACTACACTACACTACACTACACTACACTACACCAGGGGTAGAAATTAACTTTAAGCTTGTCCAACCCTGTCCTCAAAAAGAGGGAGTCCGCAGTCTGAAGTTCAAAACTGAAGATATTAACAAAAAGGACATTTGTGGTGCACGTCTGCCAAATTTTCTTGGGACATTTGCTAAAAAAAAACGGTAATTCCGCGAGGCCGTGCTCGGGAACGAACTAGTTAGTATATAGCAGAATTTCCAGGGAGTCACGGACTCAGGACTGCATATGTCAAATCAGGGAGTATTTGAATACGTTAATTTTGCACCCTGATTACCTGTCTCCTCCCATGTGCCGTGTACTTGTCTTCGCTTGTGCACCCGTCCAAGCTAACGAAGACGGCATTTGTATGGGTCTTGGTAAACGGAAAAATCCTGTCACCAGACATGGCAAATAGCATTTTAAAATTATAAGATCCATAGCCTATATGATCTTGGGAAGTCCTTGATGTTGAGCATATGTCTATACTGTGTGAGAGACAATCAAATTTGCTTCCTTTTCCTCTCCGAACCCTTAGTGAACCAATGGGAGTGTTGCCCTTGGCTGAATGTTTATGGCTGTAAACAGCGCTAGAAACTTGTGAAAATTCCAGCTGGTCCGAATATAAAAATTCGGGCCAGTGAGAATTGAAATCCACTGGCCCGAAACAAAACTTATCGTAAGCCCAGAGAGACATTTTCTCCCGCAAGAGGCCGCTTCTTAGTATAGCTTAGTCTGGTTCCGCTAACTAAATTGTTAATGCAGTATAGTGAAATACAGCGGGTACCAGTTGAAGCATGTATGAGACCTGAGAGACTGTGTCATCTTACATGAAGAGAGAACAACAACATGGCTGCACCCAGCTGTAAAGTTTGCCGTGCATGCAGCTGCATAATTGTATCCCCCGCGACGAAGTCGGCGGGATACTATGGTTTCATGTCTCCCCAGCCGCCGCTCGGTCCGCCACAGAGAATTTCCCTTCCGCTCTATAACTCGACCCCTAATTGACCTAGCGTGACCAGACTTGGTATACTTACACATCTTGGGGAGAAGGTGTGCAGAGTACCAAAACCAGGTCACTGCGACCTTTATTTGACCTTTACCTTGACCTTGACCGTCATCATATTTCCCTTCCGCTCTATAACTCGGCCCCTAATTGACCTAGCACGACCAAATTTCGTATACTTACACATCTTGGGGAGAACACGGGGGATACATGTAGTTGGCGACAACTGCCCTTTCTAGTTTGTGTTTGAGAGGGGAAAAAATTTATTATTTGGGTTTTTCTGATACTCAGCCAACTGAAATTTGAGGCGATGTATATAATATATTGCATACCGTTGGTAAAAAGGTAATCGCCCAGCAGTTAATTCTTGGGCGACTGGGGATGAGTGTTTAGGCAAGTTTCACTCGCCCGACAGCCTTTTTAGTCGCCTGTGGCGACCGGGCGACCGGCCTTTTTGAGCGCTGGCTGTAAATGAATCTGTCCCATTATAAAATCATCGTGTCAGCGTTTCGCGGAAGAGCGCCCTCTGGTGTTAATGTCGCATGACGATGTCTCGCTGGCAGAACGGCGATGAGGAGTCGGAGGAGCAGAGCGGAGAGCCGATGTCGGACAGCGAGGGAAAGCCGAGGCGGCCCGCGCCCGCTCAACGACGCACCTACAACATGCGCCGCGGAATGGCCCGCAGACCACGTGGACCACCAAGGGATGGAAACACCAGTGGGGAGGTGAGTGTGCGTGTGTGAGTGCAAAATGTGTAATGTGCATCGCCATGAGGGCGTGAGTGCCTGCCGTACGTGCGTGAGTGCCGTGAGTGCCTGCGTACATAGCATACGTGCGTGCGTGTGTGCATGCGTACGATTTAGGTTATAAATTGTTTCTACACATGTTATGTTAAGACGCTTCAAACCGAATGTTGGTCGACCGACACCGCAGCAGAGTAACCTCGACTTCGCATTGCAGCGATTGGTTTAGTGCGTGATTTGGTTACTACATGTAGATCATCAGTCCATGTAGGTTTATGTTACTACATGTAGAATATCAGTATTCAGTACATGTAGGTTTAGGTTACTACATGTAGATCATCAGTATTCAGTACATGTAGGTTTAGGTTACTACATGTAGATCATCAGTATTCAGTACATGTAGGTTTAGGTTACTACATGAAGGTTTAGGTTATTACACGTGACTTGATGGGGTGTGGCTCACGCACGGATGATGTTTCTGTCGCAGGGAGAGGAGAGGAAGGAGGGAGAGGATGGGGACGGTCAGGAGCGCCGCCGCCCACCCCGCAGATTCAACGGCGGCCGCTACCGCAGGGGTGGCGGCCGTGGCCGTGGTACCCGCCCAGACGGAGGCAGGGACAGTGGAGGAGAGGGAGAAGGTAAGAATCGTAAGCGAATGCTTGGTCTACTTGAGCGTATGGAATTATGGAACAAGAGGGATAATTTGTAGTCATAATTTAATATATTGAATATTAAATATCTTATTATTTAATTAATTAGCATTGTTTAATGATTAAGTTAATGTTTAGATTTTTGAGTTAATTGATTAAATTAATTCTGATGATATCAACTGATGTGCTCAGGTTGCCCGGCACAGCTTTATCTGTGGAACTCGCTATGAGTCGAGATGAAATTTTGGTGGGCACAGCACATGCCTATACTGGTCCCCGTGGAATTGCAAAATCACCTAATAAAGCTGTTGGGTTTTAATTGGAACCCAACCCCACCTCACCCTGGTCTCCTCCAATGTTCATCACATTTCAGGGGACAACAAGGAAAATCAGTCGGACAACCCTGATGGCCCCAGGAGGCGCCGCCGTCGCCCCCAGCGTCGGCCGCGGGGACCGAAGCTCGAGGGAGGGGAGAACAAGGAGAACAGCGAGCCAAAGGAGGATGGCGATGTAGCACCGGTGAGTTAATGACATGCGTGTGCACGACTAGCGTGGTCGGTAGCTTTACTACTACTACTCGGCGGTCGCATCCAAGATAAGAGTCAACAATGCCAGGTAGCTTTAGCCCATCGATGTTGCAGTGGGACAGTGGGATGCTCTTAAAACAGCAGAATAGTGAGTGAATAGGTGGTAGAATAAGGTTGCATTTGTTTCTGTACAATCAAACAATTGGCGTTGTCGATATCATTACGTTCTCATTCCTATCATTGTTGGTGTTACTTTCTCGTCCCCGTCTTTGCGTTGTTACTTTCTCATACCTATTGTTGCCTCGTGGCTTTCCTATCACTGGTGTTGTATTGCCATGACTTTCTCGATCCTGTCATTGCGTAGTTGGGGCCGCTATGTTTCCAGACAACAAATGTTTCATTCTGATGTCTGAGGTGAGGCTTGGTGAAGTATCACCTTGTGTTTGACATCACAGGACGAAATTCGTTTTCGTGATAAATCTATGTAATTAACCTGTTAGCAACAGCTTTGACAGGTGGTCCTGCAGCGTTCTTTATGTTTGGCATCGTCAGCATCAATGTGTCGTGACTAACGACTGGCTAGCCGTGTTTGACCAGTTGTCGAAACTGTCGCTGAAAGTTAATTAGGTGGAGTTGTCTTGCCATATATTAATATTGCCATGAAATCCGACGAACTTATTCCATCTTCAAGAGTCATTGTATGTATATCTCTATCGTATATGTAAAGAGTCTCATCCTGTGTTTGCTCTTGCAGGATGGTGAAGACGGTGGGGTTCTACAGTCGATCGATCACGACTCGCAGGGTCCTGCGCATGATAACGACACCAACAAGGAGGACAAGGAGGACAAGGAGGACATGGCAGAGTGGCAGGCCGCTGAGGCGTCGCCGTCGCCGCCGCCGCAGCCACCGCAGCCACAGCAGCCACAGGAAGAGGAGACCGCCGCCTAGACTTTCCCCCCCGCCGCCGCGCCCAGCGCCGCATGCAGACCACCGAGACGTGACGTTGGTGTGGTTCGAGGCGTGACCGCCGATTGCTGCTCGATGAAAGGTCATCGTCGCCATCATGATGCCTTCAACTCTCGCCGTTACAGTGCGAACGCTCACAGGCCCGCGCCGTGAGCCGCAGCTGCTGCGCCGCGTGGTGTGCACGTGCGGGATATCACCGAGTCAATCGCGCAAGAGTGTGAAAGCAGAAGAGGACTTTCCTGTTCCAGCCTTTTGACATTTTGAGCTCAAAATCGATACAACTCATGTTTGCTGAGCTGGTGAGGTCTCTTCGGCTTTCCGAGGGCCATGTCTCGAACCTATCAGAATCTGTAAATAGCTTTGGAGTTTGAATCGTGGAGACCCTGCATCTAGTATTCGTGATGTTACAATCGTTATCAATGAAATTAACTCGTTTGATTAAGTAAGTTGCACCTCGCCCGAAAATCTGCACGATTTGCCTGAAGCACGATCTTTAGTTGACAAGTACGATGTTTCGAGTATCATTTGTATGATTTATACATGGTTTTATTACGTAGTCTTCCGGATAAATGCGGCGTGATATGCAAAGCTTTCTGCAGCAGCCGAAGCAATACGCAGTGAGGGTGTAGTTTTTTGCACTTACCATATAGGTTTTTGTGATTGTAATCATGCAGTGGTTCTCCATGGTCCGATGCCATTCTTCGGTGGTCTGGCAGCAGTTTATTAACATCTTTAGTCGAGAGCTTGTTTGTGAAATGGCCGATAAGGAGCCAGTTACCATCAATAGCACGAGAACACCTGTTAACATTCTTGTCTGATTTGTCGAGTGTTTGAAAAGCCGCCAAGTCCAAATGAGAATCTTTGAGCCTGAACGTGAGACAGTTGCGTGTAATTACAGTGCTGCAATTGGTATTCAAGTCTTTCCCACAAAAGCCATCTACATTCAATGGCATCGTTTCCTCATTTCACCACTTGGTGCGCTGCAATCAGTAAGCAGCTGCAGCCATAGGTCGGTCGAACGCAAACTGTTGTGCATTTTTCGATTTATCCACACACTGTTTATATGCAATACGTTCGTTATTCCCATGTATTGAGAAACGAGGTGAAAGAATCGTGGAACATCACTGGCTCAAAGAATCAGTTTGGGTGGTTAAATGCAGCGGCGACTTTGATCTAAAGAAAGGCGAAGAATACCAAATACTACCACCCAGAGAGATAACACCGTAACATCATTTGTAGAGACCCGCGCCAGCCTGGTTGTGAAAGATGCCGAGGGCTTCCAGTGGGGGCACTTAGGCCGTCTGGCGATCACGGCAAGCAGCAGTCTATAAACATGCAACATCACCATTGTTCTGTTTAATCGGATGAAAGAAGAAAAAAACTTTTGTAAGAGGACCTTTTTGTGTCAACGGTTTACACCATTTTTGTAGACTTGTCAAGTTTTTAGTGTGTGTGAGTGTGCGTCTATTAGCTATGATCTGGAAACTGACGGTTCATGTAGCAAAGCTGCATAGCCGCTGGTCTCCATGTTCAAGGCTACTGTGGTACCGAGTTCTTTTCAGAGGAAAACTTTAATTTCATACTGATTAATATTAGCCTTATATTCTGAACCTAACTGTTAACTAACCGGCAAACTAAACTTGACAAGTTTGCTGTTTAATACTACCAGCCAAGGTCTTTTATAACAACACCGCACACCTGACGGACTTGATCAATGCATTTCCATCAAACAAACCAAAAATTTGGGTCAATAAAAGTCGTCTTGTATAAAATCCAAACGTGTCTGATGTCTCGTTTACGTTGACGGTTTTTCTACACAAAAATATCTCCAGGGTCCCCACACTGGCCCACAGCCCTTGAAAGTCCTTCAAGTTTGTCCTTTGTCCTTGAAAGTCCTTAAAGGGATAGTAGACTAGGATTTTACTGCATACGACTGTACTTACTGTATAACAAATCGTCTACCCACACGTATTTGTTACCAGATACCTAATTTAATTGTTATAATTAATTGCACATCAACGCTACGAAATTTGAACAGCGCTATGTCTTGATACCCGCAACCGTGCTGCCACCCCAAAAAAGTTGCGTATTTATTTTGCACGTTACAGACCGAGGGCTAATCACAAAAGTGCAATTATATTTATACCTAAATGTTATTTAACCGAACGATATTAATTTTAGGGCAAATTTATCCATATTATAACTGAAACTATATGTCGTTTATAAGATATTACAATCCTTTTGCTTTTAAATTAATAAATAAGAAACACCCTCGGTCTGTAGCCCCAAACTGCATGCAGTGCCCCCTTCCCACACTCAGGATATAGCCTATGAGTGAGAGCGCCATCTGTCGTTGAGTTTTCTGTAGCCCTTGGCTGAAAAGTGGTTTTGCGCAACTCATCAGATCGTGCGCTTTGAGTGGCGCCACCGTCGTTGTAATCAAACTGTAGTCGTTAGTTTTAAAACATTTTTTAATAATATTTCTAATGGTGATTGAACCAGGAAACTTTTTATGTAGCGTAATTTTAACCTAAATTAACTGAAAATAAGCCTAGAACCTAGAATAAACGATCCCTTTAATTTGTCCTGTTGCCATTGAAAGTCTTTGGAAATAAGTCCAAGTCATTATTTTATGTCTAATGTCCTGGAATTTTAAATTTTTGACCTAAAATAAAAAGCAAGCTTTATTGCTGGTTATCTGACTGACCCTATTCCAAGTCTTTGAAAAAATTGTTAAATTTAATCCAAAATTCACATGTGGTTGTCTACTAATGTAGCCTATGGTCTACTCTACCAAAGTAGTTTGTTTTGTCCCTAATTTTTACGTGCACGTGGTGTAGCGAGACTATAAGTTCATAATTTTAATACTACGGACTATTTATTATTACGGAAAATACACAGTAATAAATAATTTTTTATAATAGCATATAGTCATACCTGCCCATGCCACCCATGACTAAAAAGAGGGAAAACAAACTAGTTTTAGCAGATACTGTTCTGTGAATTTTAGATTAAATTTATTATTATTTGTTATTTGTTATTATTTGTAAAGATTAGGGACAAGGAGAATATGGCCCTTAATGGTTTCTTACATGGGTTGGAGGTTGAAGAACAGGTCTAGATTCTTTATTTTCACCAGCTCAGCAAGTACTATTAGCAAGACATTTATCGTTTATAGAGAAAGAATTGCTCTCATTAGGGTGTAAAACAACTATTTTTACTTCATATATGAATCTAAGGTATATATGATGACTCTAAAATGCTAAAACTACTTGTCACAGATTGTGCTTGAAAAAAACATGTCCTTGAAATGTCCTTGAAAAATATTTGAAAAAATATTTCACACTTGTGGGAACGAACCATGTACTGAGTATCTAGCAGTATAATACCATATAGTACCTACCATATAGAATCAACCATCACAACAAAAAACAAGAAAATACCAATAATACCCTTTCCTTTAATATCTGGTATTCTATCTATTTATATGGTACTTTAATCTATATCCTATCAGGTTATATTCTCTCGGGAATAAGTGATCCCCCTCTCCCAAATGGTATCGCTTACGACCTTGTTAGCACGGTGAATTTTATTCAGGTAAATGGCTGGTTTTCAGCCTCAACTTTTTCACCCCCCCCCCAAAAAAAAACACCACAAAATATGATTGTACTGCTATAATACGCGTTTTTACCGTCACACAAACACGCGTGAAGAGAAATATTGCGAGAGAGATAGAGAGAGCAAAGGTGAGGGTGAGAGTGAGCGGGAAGGCGAGAGAAGTACATATATTAGCAGGAATATGTGCATCCGTGCCTGTGTGTGTTCCGTTTGTGCCGTACGTGCGTTTGTCTGCGCGTGCGACTGCGCATGCATGTGCAGATCTCCGTCTGCATTCTTCCCTCCCTCCTTACTCTCCTCTTTCCTTCCTCCTACCCTCTCACTCCCTTCCCCTCAGTATTTCCCTCCCCCTCCCGCGGGTAGTATCGCCCACGGCATCAGTTGCACTGTGAAAAGTTAGCAGGGAAAATCGCCGGTTTTCATCCTCAACTTTTTCACCCCCAAAGCACAAAATATGATTATACGTGTTTTTGCAGTCACACAAACACATACACACACACGACCGGGCGCGCACACGCGGGTATGGTTACACGCACGCGTGCGCATGCACGTAAACGCGTGCGCATAAACGTAAATTCACTGTTCACATATTGTGCCTCGAGGAGTGAAAAAGTTTCGCCTGAAATGCAGCCATTTACCTGCAAAAGTTTTTCCAGACTTGACTGGTCGTGCGCGATACCATCCGCGAGAGGGAAGTAAGGAAGTGAGCATGGGAAAAAATAGAGAAAGGCTAGCATATATCGATATATATAAAATTGTTCAGCCTAATTAGTTCGTACTCGCATAATTAGAGAACTCCGCAGCCTAGAGGAAAACTAAAGATATTGTTCTGGCTGAAACAAAAATTTAAACAAGTTAAAAATTGATAAAAATTCTATTCATCAATAGATGGCGGTGCGTACAGATTAGCATCACGTACGTGTATCTTTTGATTTCTTATTATTTTTTACTGTTTGAGATGGGATGGCATGGCATGGCATATGGCATGTCATGGGATGCGGTGCGATGGCATGGCATGGCATGGCATGGCATGGCATGGCATGACATGGGATGGTATGTGATGGCATGATCGAGATGCGATGAGATGGGATATGGGATAGGATGGGATGGGATGTGGTGCGATAGGATGGGAAGGCATGGAATGGGATGGATGGATGGATGGATGGATGCATGGATAGATAGATAATTAGATTTTTTTGGGTATTTTCCTTTCAACCAAGCGGTCACCAACTGAGTAACGCCACTGATTTCCCCGGGCAACGCCGGGTATCCCGCTAGCGTATTGGTATCAGGACAAATACCCCCATGCCATTCACTCCCCGGACAATTACCACCCGGACATTTACCCCCGGACAATCACCCCCGGACAATCACCCCCCGGACGTTTACCCCCCGGACAATTACCCCCCGGACAATTCACGCCCTCGGACATTTACCCCCCGGACAATTACCTCCCCGGACATTTACCTCCAGGACATTTAGAGGAAGAGTTAGAGGACGACGGAGAAGGTAGTGGAGGAGGAGGAATAGGAGGGGAGAGGAGAAGGTATCGGAAGTAGATGAGGTGCAGGTGGTGGTTGAGAGAGGAGGAAGAGGAGGAGGGGAGAATGTGATGGAGGAGAAGGAGAGGAGAGGTAGAAGCGCCCCTCCTCCACCTCCTCTCCTCCTCCTCCTCCTCCAGCCTTCTGCCCTTCCTCCCTCACTCCACACCTGCGGTGGAGGAGGGGAGAAGGTGGAGGAGGAGGAGGTAGAGAAGGGAGGAGGTAAGCGGAGGGCCATGTGGTGGAGGAGGAGGGGAAAAGGTGGTGGAAAGAGAGGCGGTGGAGGAGGAGAGGGGTGGAGGAGGAGGAGGGGTAGAACGGTGGTGGAGAAGGTGTGGAGAGAGGAGGGGGAGAAGGTGAGGAGGAGGAGGGAGGGAGAAGGAGGGGAGAAGGTGGAGGAAGGAGGAGGGGAGGTGGAAGGAGGAGGAGGGAAAGGAGGGGGTGGGGGGTGGGAGAAGGATGAGTGCAGGTGGTGGTTGAGAGAGGAGGAAGAGGAGGAGGCGAGAATGTGATGCGACGGAGAAGCGAGAGGAGGAGGGTAGAAGCGCCCTCGACCACCTCCTCTCCTCCTCCTCCTCCTCCACCTTCTCCCC